TCAGCAGGTGTTAAGAGAGGTTTAAGGTGATCTTTGCTTCTGGGTGCTGGCTCTAGTGTGTGGTAAAAGCCAATTCAGAGCTCACAAGCAGACTTCTAGTCAAACATGGGCAAAGAAATGTTTATATTGCTGGGGTGGAGTACAGCTTGTGCAGTCACTTTATTATTAGCCTTCTGGAGAAGATGAGGGGAGTATAATAAATCAATGATCTTTTCTCTCTAAATCATTCTTGAGAATATCCACAGCTTAATTTTTTCCATTCTGCAATGAATAAGCCCCAGAGGTACGAACTTCCTGCTTATGTTGTGATTCCCAGGAAAGAGGAGCAAACGCAGGAGAAGCTAATTAAACCCTTCAGTAGAAGAGGGATTCATTACAAATTGCTCTATTGTGAAAAAGTACTTAGGTTTCATTTTTGCTGGAAAGGAAAAATACGTCAAAATGAATTTAACGTCTGTCCTTGTACTTGCTACCATAGCTAAAATCTCAAGGCATCCCAAACAGCGTCACTTCTGGAGAATTAGAAAAGCCTGTCCCTTTGGGACAAAGACTTTGGTAAACACTTATTGGCTCTGGTTTCAGATTGCATCAGTTCTAGAGCTAATTCCGGGCCTCAAACTAAGAACATGCTTTGACTTGATTTTTAAATTACTTTCAGAATCGATGAGCGTTTTAAATTTTGATTTAAATTTGCTGACTTTCACTTGCCCGTGAAACTGGTGCATTCTGGCTTTCTCACACATATTCTGTGTAAAACGTATGGACTAAATGTAATTTTAAAATAAATATTAACATATCGCTTTCTTCCTTTGGGGGATTTTTAATGCTAATTTTTCTCCTAGTAGTGTTTAGAAATTAGAATTTTTTTTAAAGAAATGTATGCTTTAAAAATGGAGACATTGTATAAAATTATGGATAATTTGAAGAGAGAACTACTTACAATCTTATCACCTCTAACAAAACCATTATAATTTTGGTGAATTTTTTCTGTAGTTATTATTTAAAGGATATTTGTATGTAGTTAAAATCAGAATATATATACCATATTTTATGTTTTATTTTGCTTTCATTTGCCTAACATTCAGGGTACCAAATTAAGCATTGATTAATAGTGATAGTGATGACATTAAGACATGGAGATCCGGATGAAGCCATATATGCACGATGAATCCATAATTGAATGTCAGAAGGAAATTTAATTAGACTTTTTTCTGTGTCCACAAGAAATGCTTTGATAAGAATAATACAAGTATGAAAACCCTTATTTAGTTTTTTTCCTTTAAATCGTTAATACAGGTTGTGTTCCCAATGCCTTTATTTATTTATTTGGCAGCTGGCAGGTACAGAGATCTGAGCCCTTGACTTTGGAGTTACAAGGTGGCGCTCTAACCAGCTGAGTAACTGGTGAGCCCCCAATGCCCTTAGTGAAGTCAGCTGACCGTATGCCTTGAGGGAACAGCAATACACTAAATTATCTCTTTGTAATAAACAAATGTATGTGGCATATTCCCCAGGATGGGATTAATGCATTTGATCTGTTACTCTATATGGATTAATTCACATTTATTGCATTACAGCAAGGTTTTTGTCTTCTTAGCTCTTTTCTTCTTCTGGAAATTATTCCAAGATTTGAATCATCACAAGAGTTTCACCATGTTAAGGGATGCCCCAACCCCTACTGACCTTAACATATGCTTTCTGCTTCTGTACAAATCACTTGCTAAAATAAATGGGGGGAATAAACAGAGAAGCGTAACCAACGCCATTTTAGGCAGCTCTGCCATTTTAGCCTGAAAAGTCCCTATGGGGAATCCAGGGTGAGGAGGGGCTACAGGGCTACCCACAAAATTAGCTTATGTATTGCTGGCTTGCTTGCATTGGCTAGATTGTGTGAGGTGTGAAAAATTCCCGCCTAGCTAAAAATAAAAGCTGCGCGAGGTTTGAACTCGGGGCTTCGCACTTCGATTGGCCTGCGTAGCCCTGGCTGCCAGAAATAAACTTTTTCCCTTTTCCAATCACCCGGTTCTCGTGGGCAAATTTCTTTTACCCGTCAGACACGTTGGCCATAACAACCAGAAGATTTTATACATTTGGGCTATGGCAGCAAAAGCATTACTGTAACATTGGTGTTATTTAATAGTTATTTATGGGAAGAATCTTATTAATCTGCTCTATTTATTAGTTCAGTCAGCAAATATTTATTGAAAACCAACTATCTGCCAGGCATTGTTCTA